GGGGGGGGGGGCACTTTATCGATTTTTTCCCCATTCCCTCGTACATCTCCAATTGACCGTTATAAATTTAATAGTAAACAATATTTCTTATTTTCTATTTTTGTGGAAAAAAAATTCCACTTTTACATTTTCTCAACTCCATCTATTCAGAATTGTAAAATAAAAATTTTATTAATGATTATGGGATTAATTAGTGATTATACAATTAATTCACTCTTGATTTTTAAGATTAATTATCGTAAAATGAATTGAGATTGAAAAAGGCTTTTTTATCTCAATTTTCTTCGTGGAATAACAATTGTCAAATGATTTCTTTGAAGGATTACGAAAGGATGAAATCACCCATCGCCTCCTTCAATGATTCCATCCTCAACTTTCATTGTCACATAACTTTTCACCCCAAGGTCGCACACTGCCAACCAAAAGTGGTACCTGATTTATACGAAAATTACGTTAAACCCCGAGAGATGTGTCTTTGTCCCTCCATTTACACTCGGCGAAAACTGAACGTTGCGTTACCTAATTGAGAAACGCAATGGCCGGTGAGTTATCGCTTTTTGGAGGTGACTTGCCGGCTTGTGGATATGTCTCCTTATTTTATTTCACTCTTTTTTTTTCTCATTCTTTTTTGAAACCGTCTCCAGCCACGAATATAGTTTTACGACTGAGTTGAGACGAAATGCGAGAAAAAGAGAGATGTCGGTATAGTTGGACCGAGTACAGAAGAAAAAGATGGCGATTTGAATATGTGGGGTTGTGGCGTGTTGGTCACCAAAGATTTTTTTTTTTTTTTTATTTTTGCTCTCTCCACCAACTATATGTCCTCTATACTGTTTCCTCCGCCTTTTGCCCGACCACACGCGTCGACAAGTAGATAAACTGATTGAAATACGGCTGGCTTTCTCTCTATCCGAGTATAAACTGTTTCTCGGTCGTTTTTTTTTTTTCATTTTGTTTGTGTAAGAATGAGTGTCAACCCCCGTAGACCGATGATCCGGACATCCCCGGAAGTTGTATTCCAATGAATCAACTTGACGATTCAGTTTGACATCACCGTAAATCCGATTGACAGCGCTTTTTTTTTTACTCCAGTTTTTAGCGAATACCTTCGCACTGAACGGAAATGACGATATTTTCATGAAAACCTTTTTTGTAGCTCTTACTATTCTCTATAAAAAATGTTCTCGATAAAATATTCCTATCTTACTTCAATTTCGAGATACGGGAACATGCGTCGCGAGCTTTGAGCACCGCAAGACTTTTTCTACTCCAGTTTTTAGCGAATACCTTCGCACTGAACGGAAATGACGGTATTTTCATGGATACCTTTTTTGTAGCTCTTACTATTCTCTATAAAAAATGTTCTTAACAAAAAATTCCTATCTTACTTCAATTTCGAGATACGGGAACATCTGTCGCGATCTTTAAGCACCAGAAGACTATTCTACCTCTCAACGTAAAACCCTGTGACAGTGTAAAATAATAATTATGAAAGAAGGAATATAAAGAATGAAACAATGAATTATTTGCATTTTACATTTTTCATTCCATCAATTTTTTCTTTCATTTTCTCAAAATTATTAACATTGAAAAATTTTAATCGAAAGTCCAAAAGTGTATTTTCAATATTTCATCATTTTTCATTCAATACAATATATAATAGATACTATACATAAATAATAAATATATTTCCCACATGTGTATAATAACATGAGTTAAAAAACATTACCCTTAATTTTTTAAAAGAGTATTAGCTAAAGAGTAATTATAAAAAACCGCCTTGATATCAAATTCCTTATTATGAAAGTAGAAACACAAAAATGAAGTTCGCCCGAGTCGAAATATCTCGAAACGCATCTCACTAATTCCCCATTGGTCAACTCGAACCGCCAAATTCAAATTCGGCGCACGGAGTGCGCAGTAGGTCTCATAGAGAATTAAATTTATCATTACGATAACCACTACATTATTATTGCACTAAATAAACGGCCTTTCCGTTCTTCCCTGAAACCATGGCGTAAAATTTTCGAATAAAAAAAAAACAGGCGTTAGTTATTGGCGGATAGGAGCGATTAATGGCCCTTGGAAGGGATTTGGTGTGACGGATTTTCCGTTAACATGAAAAATAGTAATGACTCAGCCGTAAATGCGAGAGCGATAATTCTCAGCAGTTAATATTATAATCTCTCATGTCAGGATAGCAGTACGTGGACACGTGTGTGGTTGGCTTTTCAAGAGAAGGTGGTGACCGGTTGTTGGCTTCCGCTTCTTCATCTTCACAACTACTGCATTAACGTAATTAATCTCGTTTAAAATTTTTCACTGAGTCAATCGATAATTTTTCCCTCATTGATTTTTAACCCCCGGGGTAATGTGATTAATCCCCCCGTCCGGTTACACGACAACCATGACACATGCAGAATTATTTTATTTAATTTTATTAACTGTTTTTCAGCGTATGATTCCGTACCTCTGAGCTCCAGCATATATCGTCTCCCATTTGATTTACGATATAGTCAAGAAGATGGCGACTCTACGGGCTGAGAGAGACGGTTGACATTATCCCTTTGCCGTGTGAATACATTCCACATTTAACATCCGGCACCGATCCTTCGACACGCATCAGAATTGTCTTTTCTAGATAAAAAGTAATAAAATCATTTATTCCCATAATAATTTTCATGATCTTGGGAAATTGTACGGCGATTATTCTTATCGGCTGCTCATGCAATCAATTCCCTTTTTTTTCTCTCTCACATCTGCGATACGTCGAATGAGTTTTCCGATTAGACTTGGGTTACGATATCGGTTATTTATACTTCACAATTCTATTGCGGGTTCAATATTATTCATTGGGAATATTTGTGGGATAATGGTGGGTGTTACCTTTCACGGAGAGAAATATTTACGAAAAATTGCCGAACCGTTTCGTTCAATTCCCTGCAATTTTTATTTATCATTCTCGTCGTTTTCATAAAAACAATAATTCCAGGATTCGATATTAATAAAAAACACTCATTTTTTCATTTACTTCAAAATTATTTCTCTGAGAGCTAAGATAAAAGGGAAATAGACCTGTTATGTGTCTCCTCTTCTAGTTGATTTACAAAATTCTCGAGCGAGGAGATTAACTTCTCGTTTTATTATTATACAGGCATATAAATAATCAAATAAAACCATTTCTGAAAAATTGTTATGTCTCGAAGAATGCTTGATCGGTGCATCCAAAATTTTTCCCAGATCTCCTTCCAAATAATTCTCATTATTCCACAGGGGTTCAAATTTTTTGATTCAACTTCACTCCTTTTGCTGCTGAATGGAATCTATTTATAGTCAATCTTTTTTCCGATTTTCTAGGTTTACCAAAAAATGTGTGTATTCGAATTTTTACATTTTCAAAGACAACAATGCAAAAAAATGGGTAAAATTTCCGCTAAAAAACGTAAATCGGGGGAAATCAAGGGTTTCATTTGAAGGTGTAGCTTTACTAAATTCGAGATCGATCGGTGGAGTACATTTTGAGAAACAGCAAGTTTCCAAAATTAATTTTCTTTTGAATTTTGAAAATCTATAAAAATCGAGAGAAATGATCGATACAATGAGCTGCCGATCGGAAGGCGATATGTATAAAAATACACGGAGAGAAATATTTAGTAAAAATTACGGAACTTTCAGTTTACTTACCGATTAGGGAGTTGATTCGAAAAATTAAATACGATAAGTGACGGTATCGTTATTTTTCACCGATAATTCAGATAAAAATTACGGAACACCGCGGAAAAATTCCGTGACTTTAGATAAAAATTACGTGACAGTTCCGTAAAATTTCCGACAACCACATTTCGCTCCAGAATTACGGAAAATACACGTAATTTTTATTGAATATTTCTCTCAGTGTAATATGAAGAACTTGAAATCGACGGTGCGGCATAATATTGCCGAATAATTATCAAAATATATCCAAAATATGCCAGGATCACGCCTCATGCAGGATTCAAGAGGAAGTCGGTGCGTGCCACATAAATTCTCGGATCGGTTCGTGTTAAGAAAAGAGGGACCAGCATACAGAAACCATTGGCTTATTTTGGTTACCAAAGTAGTCAGACACCCCCACGGTATCCTCCATTTTCCCAAAACACGCCGTAAAGCAAAAAATTTCAAGAATCCAAGAGGAGTCATTGGTGAAGTCACGGTGTGACTCGGAATTGAAATTATATGAAATCAGTCCTGAAATCATGGGAAATCACTGGAAATCCTTTGAAGTCATCTGAAATCATCGGAAATCGCTGGAAATTATTTAAAATCACCTAAAGTCTTCTGGAATTATAAAATCATGAAATCATGAAATCATGAGGAAATCATAAGGAATCACTTGAAATCATGAAATCATGCGAAATGATTTGAATTAATCGGAAATCACTTGAAATCCTTTCAAGTCATTATGAAATCATTAAAAATCAAAAATCATCGAAAATCACTTAAAATTCATTAAAATCACCTGAAATCTTCTAGAATTATAAAATCATATGAAATCATCAGAAATCACTTGAAATTCTTTGAGGTCACCTGAAATCATTTGAAATCACGAAATCAGCAGAAAAAATTTTTGAAATTACTCGAAGTCACTTTAAATAAACAATCATTGTGTCATGATATTTAACATCGAATAATCCCTGAGAAGGCTCCCTAAATTTCCCAAAATTGAAATTAAAATTCCGCAATTTCCCGCAACAACTTTTGACAATGACAACCGCACCTCTCAATCAACCAATCCAATCACAACTCCAAAAACCTGATAACCGGAGATAAAATTTTTCTGTTGGGACACCCCGCGTCGCAAGCTGGCTGACACGAACCTCTAACAAATGACTGTTTTATGTTCCAGGGAGAGAAAATGAAGGGAGAATGACGAGACGATTTTCGAGCTGCTGGTTTGATGCCCAATAAAAAATAAGAAGAGAGCCAACGAGGGGAAGGGGAAAAAAGAAATAAGAATCAGATTCAAAAAGAGACACTCCTACGCATTGTGGTGGAAGAGGTGTTACTTGTCAAGTCGACGGGGCCCCCGAGGCAATGACAGGGCCCCGTAGGAATTAGCATGGGATAATGGGTAAGACTGCATATTTTTTATAATACATAACCCCATGTCCACGGGGTCCCTTCTCCCTTCAATGAACAACCCAAATATCCTCTTGAAACAGGAACAGTCATTCCTCATTCAATACCACCGACCGGTGAAATACCTCTGAGTCATAACAACAGGCCCATTTCACCGCGCACTCTCCTCAAAAATCCTCATAATATCACGAAATCTATCATCTTTTGGAAACAGATTACTTCATTACTTCATTTATTAAACAATTTCATTCGATTTTGGATGAGTTTTTTTCTACAGAGGAGACGGGAAGTTCTTCTTATCGTTCAACATTTTTGTGACAGTCAAGGAGTCGTTGGATAGGATTTGGATTAGGTAGGAAGGGGAACAGGATAATTCTCGATGTAATTTTTACAAGAAAAAGTTGTTCATACTGATAGTTTCAGCTTTCGCAGACATTTATTTCTCAAAATTGGGAGACTCAGCTTCAATTGTGTTTCACACGATAGTTATGAAATTATTGCTGATATCTTCTCATTTGTCATGTTCTTTGTAAATTTCTGGGAAACTACATCAGGAATTTATCAAAAAACTTGAAAAATTAGAGAATATCGACGATAATTTCTTAAAATAAAAAAAAAATATAATAAATAAATGTATATATATATATATAATAAAATAAAAAATGAAGTCGATACATAAAATATATAAGAATATATTCAAAATATATTTTTCTTGCTTTTTCATTCTGTAATGAAAGTATATGATAAATCCCTTGAGGTCAGCGGATGAAATTCAATTTTGTAATTAAATTTCCAAAATTCTTAACTAACAATTTCTGTTCTCACATTTTTATGTATAAAAAGGAAAAACCTCACCCTGAGGGGAAGCCTTTTGGTCAGGTAGAGTTGTCTTTTACGAGACTTCCGCTCGATGATGAAACCGAGAAATTAAAAATGCCCGGAATTTCTACCGACGGGGATCGAATTCACGTCTGACGCCTCAACCAATCGGCCATTGTCATCAGTTTTTCCACATACATATAAAAATTCTGCGCAAAAATCTCAGATTTTGGTCAAGTGTCCCATCTCTCACGTCTCGAATATGAACAGGAGATAATGGAATATCATGAAACGCGAACTACAAGAAATTTCTTTCCTTCACCTGCGAAAATGATAAAATGACGAGAAAACAGTGAAAATTGTGTGCATAATTTACAATAAATTATACAAATGTCACTTTGGATATCCAGTGCAATTCCACCTTGATCACAAGACATTGAAAAAAAAATGAAGGATTCGTTTAGTTGTCCTATCATGACAGATGGAGTATTTAGTAGTGATGTGTCCCCTGATTATGTTAGGTCTGACCTTTTTTGAGATACGAGTGATGTGACATCAGCCAACGAATCAAAGTGACTGACGACACAAGCTGGACAAGGAGAGTGACACCTGACGGTTTAGGTAACGCCTCCTCGACACCTGGGCAACTTGTTGGAGGTCTTTTTGCCGAGTAGGTGCTTCCTAACAAGCGAGTATATGCTTTTTTTTTTCATTTTTTTCTCTTTCTCTCTCAACACCCCACCAGTCATCTGCTTTTTTTTACCTCCAGTGGTATTACACACACCCACATTCTTTGATGACGAGAGAAGTGATGAGGGAGATCTGATAAATAGTGTATCCTCCATTCCTGGTACCTCCCCAACACCCACGTGCTAATGTGGCCAGGGTTTCACATCATCTTGGGGATCTGGAGTATCCTGGAAAATGCCGTCATCGTGTTCCTGCAGAGGGAACAAGAAAGGAACATGATCGTTTTGGCAATTTATGAACATCACATGTCTCTTCGCTTTTTTTTCATCGGGTTATAAAAAAAGGTGAGCAGCTCTTGGCCCATTGTTTAAGAATTCGCAACGTGTGATTTTTTCCATTTTTATTTTGTTGCAGCATAATCTGCAGTTTGAATTCGAATAAAAGATTACAATTGAAATGAACCCAGGCGCTCATCATTCATCATTGTCCATTGGATTTGGTTCTTTGTGGGAGATTCGTGAGGCGAATATATGTTTTTTGATAGAGCGTTCCTTTGATCGGTTTGGACGATGATAACCATCGGATATTCCAATGGCATTTTCGACAGTGGCTCAATGCCTTTTGACCTCAAGTCACGGTCAAAATTGTCAGCATCATTCAATGGCAAACATTTTTTTCTTCTTTCCTTTTCAGTTTCTCTGAAAGGTTATCATTGCTTTTCAAATATTTCCAATCGAATCCTCCAAATCGAGTGATCCAATCCTGTTTGTTTTTTTATCCACTCAAGATTCTTCAATTCTCTCGTCATTTTATTAAATAAAATTTTACTATTTTATTTTGGGATTGGCAATACACAATCAATTAAAAAAGGAATAAATTAATGGATGCCTAGAAAGTCCATAAAAACGATGAATCACAGTAAAATAAACATCAAGATAAATTACACACGATAAACCGGTAAGTGACAATATTTAATAAAAATGTAAATAACGAATTAAGGTGACGAAAAAAAATCAAAGATCAAAATTTGAATATGAATTAACAAGCACCGAGTGCTGTCTGCTAGTTTCTATTTTCTCCTGAATAATTAAAATGATTTTAAATAATAAAAATTGTTTCCCATTACTGTTTCGGAAAAAAAAATATCATTCTTACTCAGACGCACCTGAAATGGAGGAATTAGTGATGATCAGTGCTTGTCAGTGTTATAAATAAATTAAATAAACTCTTTAAAAACTAATGGCTTTGAACATTGTGATATTAATAGATTGCCGGTGGGATGGAATAGCATTTTCTATTTTGCACGGGCGCGAGAAGCGTGGGATTTTGAGGTGCATCAGGGACAGAAAAATAATCATGAGAAATCCATGGTATTTCTGACATGATTGTAGGTATATCGGGACCACCCTCTGGGGCTTCCGGTGTTCAGTTATGGCACGGGGATGACTAACTGTTAATATTACCGAGAGGCCAAAGAATGAGGTGGGCATCGCGTGTTCGCGTGTCCCTAATAGTAAACCTCGCTTATTGGTTGGAGGATGAAATATCATATCGGTAGCGACTAAATCAGTGGCTAACTTATTGGTAAGTGGTTTACCAGAATGCGTAGCACGGGATTGCCTGAGGGCGTGAATTTTTTATATTTTCAGGAAAGTTGGCTGGGAATGATCATAGAGTCATTTCGTTGGAGAAGGTCAGGGGGTCAGGTGGGAATTTCTGTGAATTGCTTCTGGCACTGGTCGAGGCGAATATTCCGTTGTTTCATCGAACAAAAATTGAATTAATGTCATTAATAATAACAGAGATACAATCCGAATACAAAATATCTGAAAATATCCATCAATGCTCAGATCCTGAGGCATTTAAGGTGGTTGTCGCGCGACAGTCTCTGTAAAAAGTTTATCCGCTATAAAACGGGCCAGTTTAGAACACAATCTTTTAGCGGTATATAGTCTCACTTGATTGATTGCATTGTGCATGGATAGCTAAAGCATAACTATATATTTTCCATATTAACTATTTTCAATTATATAAATTTATGAAATTCCGATAATTATATTCCGTAAACCAAACGGTCAATCGATTTGATTTTTTTTTTCTGTATTTCCTCCCACGATGTATATTCCACGTTTTTTTTTTATTTCTGAAACTGTCGAACCGTTAATTTTTAAAAAATTCTAATCGGCAAAACTCCATTTAAACACGTGTTAAATCACTCGAATTTCAAAAATTTATATCTCAAGTTCAAAACGGTCAATTGCAAACGGAAAAGGCTCATCTTGTTGCTAATTTTTCAAACTATTCACCATAAAATTTTTAACGAAAACTGTCGAAAAAAAATTCTACGCGACAACAACCTTAACGAGCGGAAGATCGAAACGCTTCAAGAAATCGGTTAAATAATTGCTCGATTACTATAGCACTCTGAATTTAATATAAATAACAAAAATGGTGACATTTTTTAAATTAAGATCTGGGTGGATCTATCGAACGTCATCTTTTGTTTAAATTTTATCATTTTAGATAATTCACCAAATAATTAACAAGTTCCCGATAATTGCACCAGATGATCATTAAAGCATGTAACAAAGAGTCTATCAAACCTGAATTCAACCAAATAAATCCAGAGGACAAATAAAACTCATAAACAATCTGATCTCAATAAAAATGTCAGAAGAATCGCCTTGACGATCCAAACAGGTCATAACAACAATAAATACCAGTGTATTGCTGTTCAGTGGCACAATGGCACAGCACGTTGTAAAATCCATAAATACCATGAGCAAATTATGACAAATGCGAGAAGGATTATTTGTTGGGTGTACGAGTAAAAAATGGGGTGTCGTGTGAGCAAGACAGGGTGGCAATAAAATAATGGCCGATACCAGTGGATCTGGTGTTAGACGATGGAATACGTATGGAATACGAGTGGAATATGAATGGAATACGAATGGAATACCTATAGAATATGTATGGCATATATATGGAATATATATGGAATATATGGCGCATGGGAATCAAACAGTGAGAAAGAGAAAATGAAATAAAGAGAGATGAATGCACCTCTGATTGCCTCTGGTCATGAATAACCAGGCGGCAAATGTGGTAGGGGATTGAGGCAGTGGGGAGTCATACTAATCAGATTTGCATAAGCGTGTTGGTGTATAACACGGCTTAAAGGTAAAATTAAAGCTATCTCTTTCTCACTCGTGGTGAATACAGTGTGGTATAATAGAGAAGCTTGTAGCAGTAGCACGATCACGTAAGTGTGCCACGGCCGTGTGCCCAAGCACAAACTTGCCTGGACTTCTCTACTTGCTCACGGCAAAGGTCGTAAGTGCAGGGTTAGGCCTGTTACTCAATGACCTTTACAGTACTTCATTCTGATCTGGTCTGGATCAGCGAATCTGGTGGTGCTAAATGCTTCCTCTCGCCAGATCCATTTTTTTTTTCGAGTGTATGGATCCCAGGGAAAATTAGTAGACCTGAATTTCCACCTGTATATATATGGCGTGTCCCCTTTTAATATATATTTAGTTAATTATCAATCGTAAGAGATCATGAAGCATCTCTAGTAATGAATGTCTTTTTAATTAATGGTGTATTCGATCTTTTCGGAGCACTGGTGCAAGATATGTCTCATAATTGTGTTGTAATTAATAAATTAATTCCAATTGTGGATTAACCAGTTCCAATTGGGGATTGGCCTGTGTGTTGACGCAGGTTAATCTCCAATTGGAACTGGAAGCTGTCATTCTATGGATGTAGGAATGTTATAATCTTCTACAGTCGTCAGTCAGATGTGTGTGTGCACCAACTGAATTGAAACAGTAAATAACCGGAGCTTTAGCAAGCGTCTGTATTTACAATAACGTGATCTACTGCGCACTCCGTGCGCCGAATTTGAATTTGGCGGTTCGAGTTGACCAATGAGGAATCAGTCCTACGCATTTCGAGATATTTCGACTCGGGCGAACTTCATTCTTGTGTTTCTACTTTCATGAAAATTAATAAAAAGGATCCTGCAATAAAAAAAAATAAAAATCACAAATAAAAATGTGAAATGTTACTGTATTATTCTCTTACATTCAACAAATTTTAATAATATCAGATAGTTCACTCTTAAATAATTTTAGTGTGCGCGAATTGAGCGCTAAATGTTCAGGAATAATTCGGATAGAAAAATGGGAATTTTAATTTTCATTTCTATACGGTGAAATTAATTTTCTGCATCATCTCCTTCGTGTGCAGAATTATTTTAGTCGTCTCACTCGGTTGGAGGTTCGGAAAGTTGAGAGATTACGTTTATTCTACTTTTACTTTCTATTTAATGTATGCCTTAGACGCATCTCAGGCTTGACCGGTTAATAAGTGATGATAATGTAGAACATTTGCTCTAACCCTGAGGAAATTTCAGTTGCTAAAGTACAATTTTATTTTCAATTATTGTTATTTATAAGGAATCGGAAATTTCACTGCGAGGGGTTATTAAAAATGTGAAGATTATGTTGCGTTAAAGAAAAATTATTTTGCGCTGAATTTTTCGGTTGATTTATGGAACTTTTGTAAATTATGAAAATTTATGATAGAGTGTCTTCAGGATTTTTGAGCTTTGAGTCAATTTCAAATTGGAAATGTTTATGATTGTTTTATTATCTTTAAGTTTCAACGAATTTTGGTTTTTCGGGGTGAATCATCAAAATAAAGTGAAAATTCGGGGAAATGTGGACTTGAAAGTTTGGGATCAGTTGAATATTCAAGAAATAAAATTGAATCGTCGATCTACAGAAAATCCATGTCACTTTATTGTTATTGAAAATGACAATGCGATACTAAAAAAGAATAATAAAATGAATTTCTTAAAATCTCTAACGACCTATTTCCATTATTATAATTTCGCAAATTGTTCATTACCGAAAAATGAATTAACCACTTGAGCATTCAGCCTTCCCCTTTAATTTGACTAATTATCAAGAAATAATTGTCTTATCTCGAAATAACAAAACAAACAAAATTACGTGAACAATTAAATTGGGATGCAACCGACAATCCGTGAGCAAATTCAACGAAAACGTAAATTCTGAGATTAAATAATATTGTTGTTGAAAAAATTCAACTTAAAAAGGTTCCCACATTTTGATTTGAACTCGGTTTCAGATATCGACCATAATATTTAACGATATTCAAAATTTATCCAGTGAAAATTGATGGTGCAGTGGTTGTAACATAGTATGGGAAGTTTCTCGGGCTGATCTGAGGGAAAAGAAATATTTTTCATAAAAAGAATCGGGTAACCATTTGTGAAACAAGTCAGCATTGTCCGCCTTGGTGGAGCCTTAAATGTCATCGTCGATGGTCTACCGGCATAAATAATTGTTATTATCAAAGTGGCCAGTGGCTCTGGGTGAGTCAGAAAATGGTAGACTGAGGTTGAATGGAGATGAAAAAATAAATAAAAGACCAATAGAGGGGGAGGAGAGGTGGAAAAAAGAGAGGGTTAGGAGGAGGAGGCGGTGGCCGTTGCCTTGTAATTTATAGATTGAAGCAAATCACCCACAGGACACGAACGGGTACGGATATACGAACTATGGGTAGAATGAAAAAGATATAAAATACAGGAGAAAAAAGGAGCCAAGGGAAAGGAGATACCAAAATGTAAATAAAAGATAAAACAGCCAGCGATATATTGAATATTGTATTATGGAAATTTTTTTTCATTT